AGGCACACTAGATGCACCCAATATCCTGGCTCAAACGATAAAGCTTTTGAGTTGTATTCCAGAGGTAATCAGTTCTAGTCACGAACGGGATATCGACTAAAATGTCCTAATCTTTTTGTAATTTCTTTCATTCCAGGAGAATTCGAGGGTATTAACTTCAAATAGGCTGTGCCCGTTTCCTCTTAAACAATTTCGATTTGAATCTTTTCTCATGAAAATCTAAATAACCAACTGAGTTGAGCTTCATAGTCATTCATCCAAATCAGATATGTAGGAACTGAGGTTATCAGGGCTGTGAGAATCACGTGGCTCTCCTATGGGTTCCATGTCGTTTTGTCTGGAGGCAGCAAGTACTTATGAAACGTCGGTACATTTCTACCGGACTACACGCCCTACACCCCAGGGTATAGCCACCTCCAATCAAAAATGGGGTTATCAATCTGTCAGGAAACAGAGTTCGACATTGTTTCTAAACTATGCAAGCTTATCTTTATCTGCTCGCCGCTGTTACTAGAAAATTCCTCTGCCAGTCCAGTCCACTTTTATGTATACGAAATATTTCTCTAAGATTTAGGCTATTTTAATATCCTCTCATCCATACCAATGTTTTCCAAGTTGTATTTTTTCTTAATATTCTTTTTAAAATTCAAGTGTATGTACATTACTTGTTTTATTTGTGCGTTTTTAATCCGCCTGTCTCAGAATGTGTATATCATTACACCCTAACTGCATCAAGTGAGAATGGACTCTGAAGAATTCCATTGAATTTTAAATTAATATACCAACTCCATGCAGCTGAAGGACAATTTATTTAAACGCTATGATAATTTATTGGAAATGCTAAGCAAATAATTTCACATGTTACTCAATTATTTTCTTTAACAAAATTGTTGGTTTCTTATTTTTATTAAAGATACACTGAAAATGTATAAATAGGCCGTGAAAAATTGTTTAAAGATTACTGTCTTTTGGTTGTTATGCCGTATAGTCTTGCAGAAGTTTACAAACGTTTTAGAAGTACTTGCTTCCGCCATCAACAGGGTTTACTCATAGTTGGAATTGCAAACATGTACGTAGGCCGCCCAAAAGAATCAACATGACGCTACTATGAACCCCAAAACTATGTTAGTTTATTCTGAATTGATTTTATGGGGTAAGGGCTGACGTTCTCTGCAACCGGTTTTTCCTGAAACTAACCCAAAAATCTGAGACGAAGGAACAACTTTGGACACCTAGGGGTAGATGAGAGAATGTGACATAACAACATTTCTTTAAAAATGCGGCGTAGTCTGGATCCAACTTTCTCATGATGGGTCCAATGGCGAAAACTTGTGAGTACTATAATAAGCTTTCTAGTTTTATAATAGGCGCAAAATATATTGTCCAGGTGAGCTATTCAAGAAAGACTCAGTTCCATGTGTTCATGTAATGTGTTAATTTAAAAGTGATGAGCTTATTTGATCTTCACGAATATAGAAAGTCAGTTACATTTTATACGAGGTACATGGGACTGCGTATTAGTCGCTAGAAGGAACAGAATTTTTATCTTTGATCAAAGGTCAAGGGCAGTCGGACAGCAGCCTCCCACAAGAAGCTGAACTTCAAACAAATCACTGACCCTAAGTAATCAAGACATCCGATTATAGATATGAATAAAAAAAATTCTTCACAAAGGAAATCCTTTCATTATGTTGTTGGCTTCACACTCTTGCTGGAATAAATTTAGTTACATGAAAAATCAATGTTAGAGCAGCCAGCAACAGAGCAGCAAGGAGGGTGAGAGAACCAAAGCAGTAAACTTCTGCCCGTGAGTTATAAAGCACGAAACAAAATAAAAATACACCATAGCTTTTAGTAATTAAAGTTTAGATAATGCGATATGTGTGCAAAAATCTACAAGAAACTAAAGGATATTGCTTTATCTTGTATATTCAATATCTCCAAGATGAAAATTCTAATACTAATAAATATTAAATGCAAATCGTAGAGGTCATCATCATCACTATCAGTTCGTGGACTGTTCTAAAATTCTATATCTGAAAATCTATCATGCGGTCTTCCTAATCATCTGCTGCCCTTTCGTACAATCACATTGACAGGAACAACAAATATACTTTCTCCCACTGGAAACAAGATATAATGTCCCTGACTAGCTAGTTTAAAACACGCATTAACTGTTTGCACGTACACCAGGGTCGTTACTGAAAGCCTGATAGTCGCTCGGCTGATTAGTAAATTTCCCATCTTCTATGCAACCCGAAGGTTCGGTGCCGTGTTCACAAAAGTCCGCGACACTCACACTTAGACCAACTTCAATATTATCCTCCCATCCACGGACGAATTTCCCAAGTGGTTTATTCACTTACTAACTCTGACTCTTCAGACTAAAAGTCTGCATGTATATCTCACCTCCCACATGCGTTTTACGTGCAACGCCCATCTCATCATCTTTGACAGGATCGCCATAGGACACAAATTACGAAGCTCCTCATTATGCAACTCTATCCAGCCTCCAGCTATATACTCCCACACAGGCACAAATGACGCTATTTAGTCTGAGCTATTAAAAAAAGCGTAGACAAATGTACTACAAATAAATAAAATTAATCACTCTCTTCGCAAACACTCAAACTGTGATCCTTCTTCAGGGCGAAAAACCATTTTCCTCGCCGAAGTATTAAAAAACAGAGTGTGCCAAAAAGATGTATACACACAGCCATTACATACGTCAGTACCATGTACGAGGTGCGATCGGAAAGTTTCTAGACTGTGTCAATAGAGGGCGAACCGGATGTAGTACGAGATTCTGCCGCTAGGGGGTGCAGGCTACATTCATAGTGAATCAGTGTGCCAGCCGGCATCATCGAATTAGCATTTGTTTCTTAGTTACGGGCGTTTTTGTAGTGCATTACACCGACCCTCCTGCGATTTCGGAATGGCGTGTGCATCAAATTTTGCCAAAGACTCGCCAAAACGGCTACGGAAACCTATGAAATGCTAAAGCAAGCATTTGGGGAGTCCGCAATGGGGTGTGCACAAACTTTTGTGTGGCATTCACGTTTTAAAAATGGCCGAACCTCTGTCGATGTTGACGAGCGTTCTGGACGACCATCTTTGAGCACAACGCCCGAAAATGTTACGAAGATCGTCGTCGTACCATCAACGACTTGTGCGACATTGTTGGGATAGGCTATGGGACCTGTCCGCTGATTCTAAAGGAAGAACTCCACATGCGACGCATCATGACAACGCGCCAGCGCACACCTCCCTCAAAGTTCGGCAGTTTTTGGCCTCAAACACCATGGCCGTCATCCCGCACCCTCCTTATTCGCCGTGTGCCTTCTTCCTCTTCCCAAAGATGAAAATTCAGCTAAAGGGAAGGAGATTTGAGACGATAGAAGAGATTCAGGCAGAATCGCAGATGGTGCTTGACAGGCTGACAAAGAAAGGTTTCCAGGGATGCTTCCAGGCTTGGCAGCGGCGCTGGGATCGTTGTGTCAACTCCCAGGGGAACTACTTCGAGGGTGATGGATGAATTTAATACCTGAGATAAGTGTACGGGTTTTTATAGGCGCAGTCCTGAAACTTTCCGATCGCACCTCGTAACTTTATGCGTGCGCCCATCTTCAGGCTACAAGTGTCTACATTGTATATAATAGTTATAATTTAAAACCAAGAGTAATATTCATGAAGATACCTGTCTTCTTCGGACTTCTCGCCATGTACACTTCAAATCATTCCAATTATCATCATTATTGTTAGTCAAATTATGTAAAATATTAAGCGTTTTGAGAAAATAACTTTATGAACTTCGTAACATTTTGTGTTAAAACTATATGTGATTTGGTGTTGACTTTAATGAATTTCCTTTATCTTTATCTATCGTACGAAGAGTGCTATATAATGCTTAATTCTGCTGTGGTTATTTCAATGCGCTATACTTAATTACTAGTCAAATGTTAAGAAACGTGGAAGCAAATGCGACAAATGCCTGGTATTAAATTGCCTAATCGAAATGGAGATGTAGGTTTATCATATAAGAGAATAATATATTGCACTAATGCTCTATAATTAAAAGAATATAAAAAAGTACCTGTATACTTTTATGAAATTATTTGTAAATGGAAAAAATCAAATAAGTAGTAATATGTATTTCGAACTTTGGAAGGGACGAGTAGAATAATTGTAAGAACAGCTATTGAACAGTATTAGAGTAGCGTTTTAAAAATATTCGATTAGAGCTGTAGACCTCTAAAACCAAGTGCTTGGCGGACGCAGCATTTGCTACAAGGAAATTCAATTAATTAATTAATATTACTTAAATATAATCATAAAATTTTCTTTATTAAGAGCATTGTATTCTGATAATAATAATAAAACGTCTAATCACTCTTTTTAGTCTTTACAGAGAACGTTCATTTAGATGCATCTACTTATACAAAAAAGTACTTCAATTCCACATTACAATCGTTGACATTGCATTTATGTATTAAAAGCACTGAAATGTTCAGTTGATTTATCATCCATACCAATTTAGTCGTAATAAATGTAAAATCTCAATTTTCGGGATCGACTCATTTCCTTATCAACAGATTTTTAAGATCGCAGACCTTATATATTTAATGTTATATTTATATAATATAAGTTCATATTCTAGCAATGAAATGAAATTCAATCTAGTTTACAAGTAATTATTGTGGTCTCTGCAGTCAAATCACGTACACGTCATATTTGATTATGGTTTTCATTTGTTCGTGTGTTAGAGAATGTTATTATTTTGGGGTTTGTTATTATTGTGAATCGGTTGGTTGGCCGTCATGACTTCTTGCAGACAAGGTGAAACTGTAGTCACGGCTAGAACCACGAGATGGGCGGCTGCAGTGAGTTGGAATTGTGCGCACGCGCAGTAGTGGGAGCGACCCTAGAAGCACGGCCTTTTGCATGCGACTGTGTAATGCTTCATCCTTATTGTTCTTATTTTATCTATTCACCACTTTATAGGATATTTGCTTCCATGTACCCGTGACAAACCTTGCCCCTAAGATACATAGTGCAGCAGCTATTTCCCAAATACGTTTTTACACGTGTATTATATAGTTTTATTGTTAGAGATGACTACATATTTTACGACAGCGTCTTTCGAATGATTTATGAAGATCTTAATGGCAGTTTTCAGCAGTTCCCTGACGTCGTGTTCGCCCGGAATGTTGGTCAAGTATTTTCTAAGTGACTTGAAGACTGTTCCAGTTGCTCCTATAATTATTGGAATTATTTTTGCTTGCACTTTCCACATTCGCTGTGTGTCAATGAGAAGGTCCCTTTTCACAGTGAACAGTAATAAAATTTATTGTAGTATTATATTTTCAAAAGTATATTTATAAAAGTTTTTTATACAGTAAAGGTTATGTAAAAAATCTCCATGGTGACTGAAACGACATTACTTCCAACGCACCAAAACAAAACTGACCACCTGACTCCAGACTCCCGCCAAACGCAGACTGTTCAAGGCCCAACCGTAGGCGTCACCATAGCCTAAATCACATTTGTTATTACCAGAGTCGCTATCGTCAGAACTTAATTTATTAATTTTCCGCATCGCACTAACGGCGCATGTACAATCAAAGAGAGACGAAATACATTACGAAAGCTATATGATAATTATTATTGTTCTTTTAGTGCCTACCGGAAGTTGGCATAGTTTTAATGTTGCTAAAAACTTTAATAAAGTGAATCATTTTTATTATTATTGTTTATAAAAGAGCATTGTTTAGTGTAATTTACACTCTTGTATATACCTGTACAGAGAAGCATGTTTCTTTTCCAGGAAGTCGTGATGGCTTTGGATACGACATCTCATCACGCCACTGAAGTACAGAAATTGAACCAGCCCATTATCTGGAGCAACGTGATAGGGATTCTTTTGTTCCACCTGCTAGCAGTATACGGTCTGCTCACTTTGCCGTTGTTGCAGATTCGATGGCAGACATATCTTTGGGGTAAGA